TATTCATTCTGATCAATGCAGCCTGATTCTGTAGTCTTTTCTGTATATAGATCAACAAAAACAACTATTGTTTGTTTTCATGGCCATAAATACATACAGTGTTGCAAAAGCTCTCAAACAACACTTCCCCACATACCCCACCCTTTTTCAGTTATTTTGATTACTTACTTACCTAATATTCTTCATAGATGTCACGTAACTACCGACCTCCTATGATGGATTTACGAAGTAAGATAACTGGTAAAGGTCGGAAGCGTAAGTCCGATGATGCGCTGATGAGTCAAGGGCCAAAACGACGAAGAACGGTACATAAAGAAGGAACAAACAATGCGACTCGGCCCATTGGGTTTAAAGAACTTGAAAACATCTGTAGAGAAGGAGTTCCAGAAAAAGGCATTTTAGAATTGGTTAGCAAGACTGAAAGGTTTGAGGCGCTGTTAGCCTCAGAAGAAATAAGACCAGATTTGTTGAAACTTGTGATTTCTGCATTTCGTCTTCTGTGCTCAGCGAATACCATAATGAACGAAAACGCGGAGAAGTTCCTACGCTCTATTGCAGCGAAGAAGTTCATGACCGGGAATGTTCTTTCAGAGTTTGTCAACGAGATGCCTTTTTCAGAAAGCTGGAAAGACGAGAGCGATCGTGTCGCTGTGCTAAATGATCTGGCAGGCATTTTCCTTGCGCTGCTCCAGAGGCTCGGTGAAAGCATAGTGCATAAGCTGCCTCTTCCCCAGCTAAGTACCTCCTGGGAGGAACTGAAAAAGAAGAATGTCATTGAAAACACAGGCGATCTTGACAAGAAAATCCGACAAGTCTTCGAGTTTAAAGATCAGGTGATTCGGCGTGCAAAGTCTGCGCATGATCAAGAATCGTCGAACGAACCTCCGCAGAATTTCCGAGAGCTCAGCGTCATTCCACAATTATCAGACCTTTGTTTCAGGCCTTTTCTTCGCGAAAACATCACAGACAGAAAGTTCAGGGACCTGAATCATTATCTTGACGTGCAGTTTCGCCTTCTGAGAGAGGACTTTGTGATACCCCTTCGAGACGGCATTAAACAACTGACGAAGGGAAGCAACTACCTGGATACGAATCCTGCAAGTAAAGTAAGGCGCACCAATGACGTTTCTGTATATCACGATGTCACAGTCTTGTTTCCCGTATGCAGCAGGAAAGGCTTGGTCTACAGAATCATGTTTGACTTGTCGCATCCAAAGGTAAAGCGAGTCAATTGGGAAAGATCCAAGCGACTCAAGTATGGCACGCTGGTTTGCCTTTCTTCAGATGAGTTTAACACGCTTGTCTTCGCAACGGTGGAAAATCGAGATGTTAAAGGGCTCAAAGTCGGTGAATTGGAAGTGCGATTTGAAAACGTTGGCATGGAAGAGATAAACCAATTCATTCAGCAGGAAGAGAAGTTTGTGATGATAGAGTCACCTGCGTATTTTGAAGCGTACAGACACGTATTGGAAGCCTTGAAGGAGATCAAACCTGAAGAATTCCCTTTCCAGAAGCACATTGTTGAATGCTGTCAGGACGTTGGCCCTCCTGAATATCAAGTCAAGAAAGAAAACAGCAGCGAGTTCAAGTTTAACTTTGCTGATGTCTTAGTTGTAAAAACGCCAGCAAACCCAGAAAGCCCTGGTTCATATCAACAAGAAGAGCCCCATAGTCCTTCTATGATTGCGCTGAAGTCAAGCTCAGAGGAACATCAGTTAGAAAGCGGCAGCAGCACTGAAGATTCTTCAACTGACATGGACGCTCCAATGGACCAGGAGATACTTTCGGCTGAAGTCAAACATGAGTTCACCACTAACGTCTATAATTGGCCCGACAACGAAAGCCTGGGCTTTAATGAATCACAGATGCGCGCATTCAAATTGGCGCTGACCAGAAAGTTTGCCGTTATTCAAGGACCACCAGGGACAGGAAAGACTTACGTGGGTTTGAAGATTGCACGTGTTCTGTTGCAGACAACCTCGCTCTGGGAGGACGAGGAAGACCGGTCACCAATCTTGATGGTGTCTTACACGAACCACGCTTTGGATCAGTTCCTGGAAGGGCTCTTACCAGTGACGAAAGGTGAGATAGATCGTAATTTGTGTCTGATGGCATTAGACAAAAAGAATTGACAAGTCTTTTGTTAAGAATTCATCCACAAAACGGCACGTGTGCTAGTGGTATCGATCTATTAACAGCACACGCGAAGTTTGATTGGCCTACCCAACAACAACAACAACAACGACAACCATTTTATTTTGAATATATAGAATATCATATATATATGAACAGGTCACCAATAGCCAGCAATAAAAATAGCCACTGGTAATGATAAAGATGAAAGATAAACAGAGGCCATTGTGCATGACTCCAATATTTACCAGAATATTGTGGAAATTTTAGTTGGAGGGTTGGATTAATGGCAGTGATCAGAAGACTTCGAAAAATAGGCCCTTTGCAGCTAAGCCATCACGTGGCCTACTTTTCATAAAATTATGGGCTATAACTTAACGAATGCCAGAAATGGAAAAAGCATGTCGAAATATCAAAATGGCCAAGTTTGAGGCCCCCATCATTAAAGAATGAGATTTTATGACGGTCTGAATTTTTGAAAAAAAATAAGAAGATTGTATGGAAAAAGTTGTTGGAGAGCAAGGCCTTGCTCTCCAGCAACATTTTCCATACAAATCTTCTAAATTTTCCGAGAATTCAAAGTGTTGTATAAACTTACTCTTTAATTCCAGGGTCCTCAAACTTGGCCATTTTGTTATTTTCGATGCGCTCTTTCCATCTGCGGCGTTCTTTAAGTTATAGCCCATAATAAATAAATTTTCTACGAAAAATTTGGTCACGTGACCCCAGCTGCAAAGGGCCTATTGCTCGAATAAAATAGTCCTATAATCCTTACTAGCTTATCCTCGTGAACGATTTGTTGTTTACGTCATATCTATGGCTGACTGCGTAGGAACGTTCGTCTCGTTTAATCGTTATGAAGTTGAGGAGCTAGGTTCTATCCTAAAAATGTCGTCTGAAGATCAAGAGTCAAGAGGCATCTACATCGATGGAGAGCTAAAAATAACGGCCTTTTAAAGAATTTTACTATAGTATTGCACTGAGATTGCCAAAGTGGTGACATTTTGAGTTGCACATGCACAAATATTTGATCGCTAATTGGAAAGGGCACCTGGCAAAACTTCAGGATCGTTTTGACCAAAAATGTCGCTGATTCCTCGTGATAGTACCCCTTTCTATTTTAGCGAGCAAACTAGGTCAAAATCAAGACATTTCAGGAAGATAGAGGTGGTACGATTTAGTTTACTTTAAATAACACAATTGTGCGGTTTCTTTAAAACATTGAGTGCTAAAATTTGCCTTTCGTNCAGGCTCGTGAAAGTAGAGAAATCCCAGGGAGGATAGCTAGAGCGAGGACAAAAGCTCGAAAGAAAATGAGAGAGATTAGAGAAAATGGACAGCTGGAGCTGTCCATAAAAGTGCTGAAGTATTCGAGAAGAGGAATCATGTCTTACCACGTACTGAAGCAGTTTATGTCCGAGCGTCACGCTAAATGGTTTGAGAAAGAATTTGAGAGACACGACAAAAGAAGCGCTTCTGATCTGTTCTGCGAATGGCTTGGCGTAGAAAGACGTGTGGCTGCTAAAGATTTCAGAGACCGAGATGATTATGGTCCCCACAAGGACGATTTCCAGATGCAGGTATCCTTTCGGAGCTTCGCAAACGAGGACGATGTCGAAGAAGACGAAACAAGCAATGCCATCAAGCCTTCAGAAGTGGTCATTTGTGAAACCGAAGACACCAGAAAGCCCACCGAGCTACGCAAAAATCTTCAAGGTACGGAAACCATGTCTGAAGACGAAGAAAAGTGTGCATTCCTTTCTCAGCGTCTATCGCAGCAGCATCGCTGGAATATTTACAGACTGTGGATGGAAAGAGCCGAGAAACACTATTTGCAGCAGGTACAGACGAACCAACCTGAGTACGAAAGGTTGTCGGTTCGCACGAGTGAGTTAACTCAAGAGGAGAACTTGTTTGTTCTTCAGAAAGCACGTGTCATTGGCATGACAACTACAGGCGCCGGTAAGCACCGCCGAATTCTCCAGCGGATTCGCCCCAAAATCGTCCTGGTTGAAGAAGCTGCTGAAGTACTGGAGGGTCATATTATTACGTCATTGACACAGGGATGCGAGCACTTGATTCTAATTGGAGATCACCAGCAACTGCGACCAACCCCTGCAGTCTATGAATTAGCCAAAAAGTACAAACTGGACGTGTCGTTATTCGAGAGAATGGTGAAAGCTGGAATTCAGTGTGAGAGGCTGTCCGTTCAGCATCGCATGAGACCTGAGATCGCTGCCTTGATGAAGCACATCTACGAAGATCTGGAAAACCATGAGTCAGTGGAGAAATATGAAGACATCAAAGGAATGAAGAAGAACATGTTCTTTATCGCCCACAACTATTTAGAGATGTCTTGCGATCAGACGCACAGTCATGTTAATGAGCACGAGGCTAGGTATCTAGTGGCGCTGTGTCGTTATTTACTACAGCAAGGCTACAGAGCCCATCAAATAACACTTCTGACAACCTACATGGGTCAGATGTTCGCCATTAAAGACTGCCTCCGAGAGGAAGACTATGAAACGTTGAGAAGTGTCCGATTGACGACAGTTGACAACTTTCAAGGTGAAGAAAATGACATCATTCTTCTTTCGCTCGTGCGCAGCAACAAAACCGAGAAAGTCGGCTTTATCAAGAGTGTGAACCGCGCATGTGTGGCGCTCTCTCGGGCCAAGAAGGGTTTCTACTGTATTGGAAACTTTGATCTTCTCTCTAAACACAGTGACATCTGGAATAAGATTGTAGCCGATTTGAAAGCGAGTGAGAGCATCGGAAAGGCCTTGCCCCTTGTTTGTCAAATCCACCATGATGAGTTCACAGCTGAATCAGCCAAGGATTTCAATGAGAAAGCTCCCGATGGAGGATGCCAGCGACGATGTGAAGTACGTCTGGAGTGTGGCCATGTGTGTAGACAGTTGTGTCATGCACTTGACACCGAGCATTTGGAGTATCGTTGTGTGCAGCCATGTAGCAAGAAAATCAAGGGCTGTGATCACGACTGTCCAAATCTTTGCTGGCAAGAGTGTGAGCGACATTGCGGAAAACTGGTCACGAAAAAGCTACCAGTTTGTGGCCATAATGTACCGGTGAGGTGTGACACGAATCCGAGGATGGTGAAATGCAAAGTAAGGTGCGAGAAATCCCTCGCCTGTGGCCATCAATGTCAAGCCCACTGTGGAGCCCCCTGCACCAAAAAATGCCAAGAGCTTGTCAAGAGAACCGACTGGCCATGCGGACATGGAGCCACATCCGCCTGCTCGGCCACTCAAGCAGATTGCGAAGTCCCTTGTGGAGACAAGCTGGAATGTGGTCACAAGTGCCCTGGTAAATGTGGAGAGTGTCGCATGGGTAGAGTTCACAAAGGTTGCAAGCTGAGGTGTGGTCGTCCTCTAATTTGCTCACATGTATGTAAAGAGTTCTGCAGAATGCCGTGCTATCCTTGCACAAAGAAATGTGAAAACCATTGCGTACACAGCGCATGCCCAAAACGTTGTGGAGATCCGTGCGTTCCTTGTCGTGAGAAGTGTTCCTGGGAGTGCCTCCATTACAAGTGCAGCAAGGAATGTGGTGAGCTGTGTGACAGGCCCATCTGCGACGAACCTTGCGATAAAATTCTACCATGCCGCCACAGTTGCCGTGGTTTGATGTGCGCCAAGGAGTGCATCTGTACCGAGTGCATGAAGAATGACAATTGCGACCCGATAACAGATATCTTTTTTGGTACAGAGCAAGATGAAGGCGCCCGGTTTATCCAGCTTCCAGATTGCAAGCATATCTTCGAAACGAAGGGCCTAGATAGGTATGAACAACTTCAATCTAAGAAGCGTAAGAAGCGAGAGAACATAAGTGAAGACAATCGATATTTTCCATTTCAGTTCAGTTAGTCATAACAGAGCTAACAACCCTACAAATCCTTGTAGTCAAAGAGAAACAGTCTAACTCAGTCCAAGGAAGATTGAGACAAGAGGGGGGCCTTGAGGGTTTCTGGTAGTGTTTTTAGGCGGAGCCAAAAAGTTGAAAAAAGAAAAAAGAAATAAATGTGTAGAACTTGGCATTTATAAACGCTTCCCTTGTTCCCTGTCGGATCTCATTCACCATGCAGATGTGACTAGCCAATGCAAAGCTGACGTAACAGCAGCAGATCAATATTTTTTGACCGATATCGTATATCATTCAGTAGAACAAGTTTTCCTTAGGGTTACGGAGATGGTTGGCGTAGTGGGAAGAGCGTCCTCCCTCCCCGCCAGACTGTGGCCCGGGTTCGATCCCAGCGTGGTGCCATATGGGTGTTCAGTTTATTGTTGGGTGTCGCCTTACTCTAAGGGTTTCTCTACACCGCCGGCAGTACTTCGGTTTTCCTCCCCCTTGCTTAAGCAGCTTTTTATCCGGCCTAGTTAAAGATCGCATGAAAACGAGCTAGAGCTGATTTAGCTTCCGCTCTCAATATTTTAATTGCAAAATAATACAGTAAACGATTTGCGTGACGAGCCCAAGAAATGTACGACTGAACAAAGATGCAGCTAGATGCTAATTCCTACTGGACTCCTATCAGAAGCAGACTGCAGTTAATGAAGGTAAACCGCCGATATAAGCTTATTAATTTGTGTGACTTGTGCTTCTTCTTTAGTTACATGGGGATTTCAAATGGCGACACTGACATTTCGGATGAAAGTCACGCCGGTGACAGTCACGCGGATACTGTGGATGAGAGTCAACCGATTCAACTGAAATCCTGCCCTCGTTGTAAGACTCCTATCCGCAAGAGCCTGCGATACGGTAACGTTATTAAACAGCAGCTCAACGACATCGAGAAAGTCAAAGAAAAATTGTTGGGAGAAAAAGATGAGCTGGAAAGGAAGAAAAAACGCCTCTCTGACCGTCACAGGAGTATGCGTTCCATGCTTGACAGTAATATGCGTTTCATGCTTGAGGATCCAGACTGCAAGAGACTGGAAAGAAGTATTTGCAAACTGAATTCGGAATGGATGGCGGTTGTGCTTGAAAACAAGTTGACGCTACTGGAACGTTTCTGTAACACAAGGAAGAAAATGAAAAGCACTCTGGGCAAAATGTCTTGGGACGTCTTGTCAGAGAATGGCTTGCAAGGTAAGTTTGAATTCTATTTGACGAAGAGTAAACCGCTTTGCTATGGACGTTCTTTCTGCGGGGGAATCTGAACCACTCCCGCTGGAGAAGCACTCCGATCGGGGAATTTGGCTATCCCCCAGGTTGACAGGCTATCTGGTCAAACAGAGTCATTCGTAAGCATTTTGACCAAATGAGGAGAGGGGAAGCCAGCAGGCATAGTTCTCTTCAAGGGAGCAGTGAGTGACTTTTCTATTTAGTGTTTGCATAGGCTTTTTACCTTGCATTAGATGTATTAAAACCCAAGGGCTTTGGACGTTCATCTCTGGCCAACAGTTCTGAGAACAACATGTAATTTATAGAAACCTCTAACAATTTGAGACATTATCGAACTGTATTTGTAGTCTCGCCATTAGTACCTCGTCATTAGAGTACCTTTCAGCTGTCCGAAGCTTGACCTCAGTTGTGTAGAAAATCACTTATAAGCAAGGTGTTACCGGGAAAAGGAAACTGGGTCTGGTTTTCTTCCTTACTGCCCTCTTTTATTAAAATTAAAGCTACTGGTAAATTATTAAATTATTAAAATTAAAACTACCAGTGTTAAAGACAAACTTAGAAACCTTGCGGTTTCTTTTTCGTTGCTATTTTCTTTAATCAATTTAGAATGTATACATGATGCTAGTCTCGTGCTATTAATGTACAATGTGAGTCAATAAATATTACTGTGTACCTCCCAACTCAAATACGTTTTCCGATTGGAGGAGAACGTGTCACGTGTCGTGGGTCAAAATTCACTAACTCCCTAGGGCGAACAAAACTCACTAACTCCCTAGGGAAACAACAACTTGAACTTTCGACTCACACGTGATCAGGTCGTGCTCCTTGAAACCACAGCAAATTTGTGAGCCAGCCGGCGTCAAGCAAACGATTTCTTCGCAGTTTTTTTCTATTTTTGAGTTGGGAGGTATAACAAAACACTTAATGACTGGTCCCACGGGAAATAGTGAATTTTGTTTTCCCGAGACCCTCAACGTTTGGAACATTGAGCTCAATGTTCCAAACATTGAGGGCCTCGGGGAAACAAAACTCATTGTTTCCCTTGGGGCCAGTCAAAATATGCTTATTGTTATTGCTATTGTTACGTCAGTATAATGCCAGAAATATCACGTTTATAAAGCAATTCTTTTAATTTGATTAACATATATTTCTAACGATAGGCCAGCAATTTGAAGATGAACTGTTGTACCTTAAGAAGCGTTTTATGTCTGAGGTAACGCATAGGGAACTACGAGACATCAACACAGAATTCTCGAGGCTCAATCTCCTACTCGAGCTGTGTTNGAGGAAACAAAACTCACTGTTTCCCTTGGGGCCAGTCAAAATGTGCTTATTATTATTGCTATTGTTACGTCAGTATAATACCAGAAATATCACGTTTATAAAGCAATTCTTTTAATTTGGTTAACATATATTTCTAACGATAGGCCAGCAATTTGAAGATGAACTGTTGTACCTTAAGAAGCGTTTTATGTCTGAGGTTGTAACGCATAGGGAACTACGAGACATCAACACAGAATTCTCGAGGCTCAATCTCCTACTCGAGCTGTGTTTTCTGATTCACGAAATCAAGAGCCTGACAGTAGACCTTGAAGATTCTCACCGTCAGATGATGACTGCAGTACAGGAGAAACTGTCCAGCGGTAAGCGCCTGGAAGACGAGAAGCTGGATGAAATGATGAACAATCTGAAGGCTGTCAGGTAATGTTTAGGTCTCTAGTTGCGCCACAGTGACATTTGTAAAACAAATCAGCTAAGTGAATACATTACTTGCAAAAAAGTTCGGACGCGATTTTAATTTCAGAAGAAAAAAAGTGTCCGAAAACAAAACCGTCGGAAATTTTCAAGAGTCCGAAATATTTACAGTGCAGTATAAGACTTTTAAGTAGCTCCAAAGCTCTTAGTTTCCTTTATAGAGCGAACTCTTGTTCAGACACTGGTTGTGGTACGTAAGAATTTGTGCGATTTTTTTCGTCGGTGTATCGGTAAAACCTTTTAGGGTACCGTAAAACTATCATTTCCACTGATGTTGTTCCTGTGTGATTATAATTCGAGTTTTCTAGGCATAAATTTGACTTAACTAG